AAATTTATTAAAAATTAACGATTACCATTTCATTTCTTTGTTTAAAGAAATGGCTCCGTTTTTGAACCATGGTGTATAACAACTGGACACAACTATCGTGGATCCTCAGCTGCCTTGATGGACTTGGAAATTGAGTTTGGGCCGCTCCATTAAACTTATGAATTATGTATTGGATTGGGCTCAGTTGGACTAAAATGACACCAAAGTTTACATTGGTATTAATTCTCAATCGTTATACCGTGCACCACGGCGCACATATCAATGTGCGCCCCGCACCTCTCAAAACGACGTCGCTTTGTTAAGTTGTATGGGGAGTTGACGCGACAGAGTGTATGTGTATTCTGGTATATAATTATATACATTCTTTTATACAATTATGTACATCCGAAACATGAGATTTTTTTAAGGATTAAAAGTTTATGTGTATTATGTGGAGCGTTATGCTGTGCATCCGTATGCACCATGCATGGTTCATACGGATGCAAAAACAACGTCATTTTGGCGTCTAACTTTAAAAAAAAAAATTCAGAATTGCATGACTACACATACATAATTTCATAACTACACTTCCAGAATTTCATAACTAAAAAATCCAAAATGAATGAACTAAAAATGGATAACATAATGTTGTTGCTGGGAATCGAAACTGATTTTTTTTTTTTTTTTAAGTAGGGCGCGCGTTTTATGCAAAACGACGTCGTTTTTGCATCCGTATGCACCATGCAAGGTGCATACGGATGCACAACATAATTTGCCGTATTATGTTAAGAGTTTATGTGTATTATGTTAAAAGTTTATGTGCATTATGTATTATGTTAGATTATGTATATTATCTTTTCAAAAAAGAGTATGTGTATTCTGTTATATAATTATGTACATTCTTTTATACAATTATATACATTTTCAAAACATGAGATTTTTTTTTAAGAAGTTAACAGCAAACACGGAAAGCTGAATTTTCTATAATATAAAAAAAGAGTACAAAACGGCGTCGTTTTGCACCAGAGCGCACAATGCAATATGCGCCCTGGTGCATGATATAAATTGCCATTAATTCTTACTCAAGTAGAACTAACAATCAACGAGAGAAATAGAAAATTAGATTATTGAAGTAAGCGAAGGGTTATCCAAGTTACTAAGGAAAATGGCAAATTTTACGGTGAATTATCGGCGAAACTGTGCCGTTTCCTTTAATAAAAAGAAACAACATCTGTTAAGTCTAATTAATTATGTTTTTATAACATATTCAGTTTCATTTTATATATCCTGTAGTTTTATTACAACACAACTAAAATATCATTTTGATCCAAATATAGTTTCAAATATGTGAGACATGTTATTGAATTTCATTTTATACACATTATAGTTTTATTACAACACCACTATAATATGATTCTAATTCAACTATGGTTTCATTGGATAATATACACTCAAATATGTTTCATTTTATATACAGTGTAGTTTCATTACAGCACAACTAAAATATCATTTTGAGTTTTCAAAAAAAAAAAAAAGTATCATTTCAATATAACTACAGTTTCAATTTTAATATACACTTAATATGTGAGTCATGTTATTCAGTTTCATTTTATACATACTATAATTTCATTACAGCACAACTAAAGTATTGTTTTAATTCAACTATAGTTACAATTGACAATATACACTCAATATAAGAAAAAGTTAATTCCAGCAATGGTCCTCCGACTATTGTGATTTTCTAAAATTAGTCCTTGTCTTTTAATTTGGACAAAAAAAAATCTTGACTATCAGATTTGTTCTGACATTGGTCCTTCGGTTAACTTTCAGTTTGTTAGGTGTTAGTGTAGGGGCTAAAATTGTCATTTACTCTTATTGCTTTCTTCTTCCTCATAGATTTCTTCTTCATAGATGTAGTGAAAGCTCTTCATCTCACCATAGATGTATTCTTGATCCATAGGGCTAGGGGAATCGCTGTTAACATCACAGACTACAATTGACCCAAATTTATTCACAGCATAGAACAATTCGTTGCTGTAAATGACATCCTCACAAAATGACCTAGCCTCATCAATCAAATTCTAGGAATTCTCACCGTTTTTGGAGTACACCAGGTCCCCTGTTTTGTTGAGAATCGCCATGGAGATGAAGTTCGGTTGAAGCAGAGGGTTGATGATGAAGACCGATGGCGACTCATCGAGGATAACGAGCCAGCCGTGGGAGTTCGAAGCTTTTTGGCTATGGAGTCGAGGAGCTTCGGCACATACAACGGGGGAATCGGACAGTCTTTGTGGAGTTTGTGGGTTTTGCTCCTCTTCCAGTAAATCTGTAATGGAGTTCTGGTTTTGCTCTGCGTGTAATACTCATTAAGATGAGGAAGAAGAAAGCAACTAGAGGAAATGACTATTTTAGCCTCTACACTAACGCCTTACAAACGGAAGATTAACGGAAAGACCAATGCCGGAACAAATCTGATAGTTAAGGGCCTTCTTTGTCCAAATTAAAAGACGAGGACTAATTTTGAAAAATGACAATAGTCGAAGGACCATTACTGGAGTCTGTTAGTGCGGTCCGATATCACATTTTGCATGAACAACGTGAGTTAGGGCCGTTAATTCCGGGCCGTGGTTTGAGACAAGGCGGCCCGCTATCGTCGTATTTATTTATGTTTGTTGTTGAGGGTCTGAGTGTGATAATTGATAAATACATGTCCCAAGGCAGGTTGCACGGAGCACGGGTTGCAAGAGGGGCGCCTGCGATATCACATCTGTTGTTCGCGGACGACTGTTTTTTATTTTTGCGTGCAAATGCCCAGGAGAGCCATCAAATGAGGTACATTTTAGATACATATTCGAAAGCTTCTGGACAGAGAATAAATCATGACAAATCTGTGATTTGTTTCAGTGCCAATGTATCACAGCCAGTTAGGGATGAGGTGGTTCAGATCCTAGGGGTGGCGGAGGGCAATACGTCTGGCAAATATTTGGGCCTCCTTCGTTGGGGGGTAGAAGAAAGAAGGAGATTTTGGGTTATTTGAAAGAGCGGATATTGACAAGGGTCCGCAGTTGGAATTCGAAGTTCCTGTCCCGGGCAGGTCGGGAGGTGCTTTTGAAGAATGTTATACAAGCAATGCCATCATATGCTATGATGGTATTTCTGTTACCGGTTGGCTTGTGTAAGGACATTGAGACTTTAATGTCAGAGTATTGGTGGACGGGCTCTGTGGGTTCCGGGAAAGGTATTCGGTGGCATGCTTGGGGTGGTTTGGCGACGCCCAGGATGGTGGGGGGTTTGGGGTTCAGGAAACTACACGAGATGAACCTTGCGTTGTTGGGCAAACAAGCTTGGCGTCTGGTTACTCGGCCGCATTCTCTTGTGGCGCGTGTTTACAAGGCGCGCTATTACCCCAGGTGTGCTTATTTTGATGCAGGTGAAGGCTCTAACCCATCATACATTTGGAGGGGGCTGTTGGCAGTGAAGGATGTGGTGCGTGAGGGCTGTCGCCGTAGTGTTGGGAATGGCCAAGACACTTTGATTGGGAAGCATGCTTGGCTGCCGAATGAAGAAAACCCGTATGTAACAACTGCACTTACGGAAGAGGTGTCAATGGCCACGGTAGCAACTTTGTTCAACCATTAAGGTACGGGATGAGATATAAATAAAATTGCTAACATCTTTAATGCCCGTGATGTGTCTTTGATTATGAATATACCTGTAAGTTTGCGCAGCCCACATGATTCTTGGTATTGGTATTGGGACCAAAAAGGGGCCTATACAGTTAAGTCTTGTTATAAACGGCTAACTCGTGTAGTACCGGACCATCGTCCCTGGACACGTATTTGGAACCTTGATGTGCCTCCAAAGGTTCGGCTTTTCTGTTGGCAGCTTGCCAGTTCATATTTGCCAACACGAGATGCTCTAAATATGAAGCGTATTCATTGTGATCTTCTTTGCCATATGTGTAATAGGGAAAGTGAGAGTGCATGCCATATTTTTGTTACATGCAATAAGGTGGGGAGGGTGTGGACTTTGCTGGGGATTCCGGTCACTGGCTTGGCGCATGGGTACAATGCTTCGGACTGGTTTTTCGCAAATATTGAGCAGCTATGTGGTGATTTGTTGGCGAAATTCGTGATGGCGTGTTGGGGCATTTGGACTAGTAGAAATGATAATGTGTGGAGTGGTATTGCATTTGTACATAAACGTGATGTTGCGGAGGACCTTGGGTTTTTGGGAGAACTGGAGGCAGGCTCAAGAGGCTACCATACGTATGGCCCTATTACTGCCAATGTCTCTCGTTGGATGCCACCACCAGTTGGTAAGTTGAAGCCGAACTCCGATGCCGGGTTAAATCATTTGGCAAACGCAATGGGGTTTGGGTGGGTTTTGCGTGGTGAGGATGGTGCTTTCCTGGCAGCTAAAAACGTGCGGGTTCCTGGATCATACACTGTTGAGGAGGCCGAGGCAATGAGTCTGAGAGAAGCTTTAAGTTGGCTAAAGGATACATGCATGGGTGATGTTGTGGTAGAGATAGATTCACAGCTAGTTTTTCATGCAATTTTTGCTAGCCCTTTTAGTTCGGCTTATGGTTTTTTAGTAGATGATATTAGAGAATTGGCATCTATGATTGGAGATGTCCAATTCGGTTGTGTTAGGCGATCTGCGAATTGTGCCGCACACACTGTTGCTAGGGAGGCCTTTTCTGCGGCAGGTTACGGGGAATGGTTTGATGTACCACCCGATTTTTTGATTAGCTGCCTGGCTAATGATTTAATGCAATAAGCTGTTTTTCTCAAAAAAGAAACTTGTTATTCACTTTCATTTTAGATACACTATAATTTAATTACAACACAACTAAATTATCATTCAATTCAATTACAGTTTTATTTGACAATATACACTTAATATGTGAGACGTGTTATTCAATTTCATTTTAAATACACTGTAATTTCAATTTATTCTAAGAACATCATAAATATGGGATTAATTAAATATAACGGTTCCACCATATAACAATGGAATGGAAGGACAATGATATATTAATATATAGTGATGTTGAAAGTGAAAAGAGTCCAGTCCAGACTCCAGATGGCTCTTTGGCATTTAAAGTGCAATAGAGATGAGTGATTTAGATTTGAGTATCAACTGCTAAAAGCATAACAGACCACAATCATACATTAGTAAATTTTAAAGATAAGGACTAGGAAAAGCCCAAAATGTGAAACACAAAGAACATGCCTGGTTGTGGTTTAGAGGCTCTTCATCATCAGAAGGAGCAAGCAGTAGTATAACTGTTGAACTCGCTAAAGCTAGCAGGTAGTCTCTTCTGCTAGGTCAGGATAGCGGCTTGGCACGAGTAGCTGGATCTTCCTTAGATTCTACGTGAATCACAAACACATAGCCGAGGACCCAGAGGAGAATATATGGATAGGGAACCCAAGGCAGGAAAGCGATAATACATAAAATGCTGCCAGTATACTGGGGATCCCTAATTACTCCAAATGGAAACTGTGTCACCCAGGGAATGTTCTTTCCAAACCTCACACCATAGTATACGCCAGACTCTCCCAACAATTGGTATACCCTACACTAGCAACCATTATCACATAAATCACACATTCTTACTCTGAAAATTCAGGGTAGAAGAACGAAATATGGACAAGCCTGCTACATGTTAGTCAGTCTTTCCTATGCACTTACAGGTACATCAATAATTCAAACAGATGGTTTGGTTTAAAGATCCAGGCATACTCTGAGAACAAGATTTTTTTCCTCTTTTTTATTCAATACATCCTAACATCAAGAAAAGAACAAGATTGAAAGGTGACACTGTTTTCAATCACAGACTCACAAAGCAACAAGATGAAATCATTCAAAGGCGACTTTCAATCACAGTTAAAGTTCCTCCACAAAATTTTCAGTCTCACTATTACTTCAATCTAGTTCTAGCAGACTCACAGATATCAGCAATCTTAGCACAAAAAATAATAATAAATAAATAAAAGAAACAAACTTTCTCCACCTTTAGCATTAAATAGTATTGGGGGCAACTCCAACCAAGTTAGTTGGACAGTTTGACATGGTAACCACAAAGTTCCAAGTTCAACTTTCCGTGAGAACTGTCTATTGACTTTCTTGGTTTGAGCCGGTCAACTATGAGGAACCAAAGCCGGTTTACCTGTGGTTGTGGTCCTTTGCCGACTATGTCATAAGGCGGGCGTCACCCAGGATACACCTTCAACTCTTCAAGTATGTACTCCGGGCTTTTTCGTAAATCAAAGTATCCATGACATAAAGTGTTTCTTTCCAATTTTGATATTTCTCTACACAAATACATTTATGGCATACCAATCTATCATCAAGGTTATAATCTTGCAGACCGACCATATTCTCCATTTCCATGATCGACAACTAAACAGAATAATCCCCTTAAGCTCAGAGGTAGTTGTTAGTCCTAACTTAGAATCTAGGGTTCCAAGATGTAGTTGAGTGCAAGTTACACTCTTCCCAGACAACAAATCGAAATTAGAATCTTCCCCTTCCCATTAATCAAGATTTCATGAATTTAAAAACAATACCCACAGCCACAGAACATTACAACAAAGGTATAGGTATATTAAAAGCAATCAAAGAATCAAGACATTGTGGGTTGGGAAGAGTGAAGAAGAGAAACCTGATGTTGAGGAACTGACCGAAGAGGAAAAGCGGCCAGAAGTAGAGAGGCGGCGGCCAAGAAGGCGTGGATACCGAGTAAAAAGCGATGAACTGCAGCAGCTTGAGCACGTTAGACACCACGCCCATGACGTGAGATGGGTCACGCCCTTTTCCGCAAAGATCCACCCATGTCTGAGGATACGTCCATACCCAATAGAAGAATGGGAACTGTGAAATCACTACTAGGCATACCAACACCCCCATACTTCCTTCTTCTCCGATAGGATTGGCCACTGTAGATAAGAAAATATAATTAATTTAACGGTCTCCCAGATTTTTGGGCAATCTTTCATACACTTGCTTTAAGCCCAATTTATTTGAATACTCTGTAAAAGCAAATTATGCTATGCGCATGTGCGCACCTTGCAAGGTGCGCACGGCGCTAAAACGGGGTCGTTTTCCGTAAAAACGACGCTGTTTTAATTATAAAAAAAAATTTGTTCGAAACGCCGTTAACGGCGTTAACAGCATATTCGTTATGAAATTATGAATATACAGTTATGACATTATGAATGTACAGTTATAAAATTATGAATGTATAGTTATGGAATTATGAACTTACAATTATGAACATAGAGCTTCGAAAATTATGAATGTTCGGTATGGAATTATGAATATACAGTATGGAATTATGAATGTACAGTTATGGAATTATGAATGTACAGTTATGGAATTATGAATGTACAGTTATGGAATTATGAACATAGAACTCTGACATTATGAACTTACAATTATGAACATAGAGCTTCAAAAATTATGAATTTACAGTTATTGAATTATGAATGTACAGTTACGGAATTATGAATGTACAGTTATAGAATTATGAATGTACAGTTATGGAATTATGAATGTACAGTTATAAAATTATGAACACAAAGCTGTGAATATATGCTCCTATAACGAAGCGGTCTGAAATTAAATTTAAAAAAAAAAAGGGAAGATAAACGGTGCCGATGCACGCTGGGCACGAGCCCACAGCATAACTATTGCTCTGTAAATGAGGCAAATTATATCGTGTACAAGGGATTGTGCGTCTTGGTCAAAATGACGTTGTATCTCATTTTCGCCGTTAACTTTTAAAAATAAAATTAAAAAAATTTCATGTTTCAGATGTACATAATTTTATTATAATAAAATATGCATAAACTCCTAACAAAATACACATAATTTAACATAATAAATAATACACATAAACTCTTAACATAATACACATAAACTTTTAACAGAATACATATAAACTCTTAACAGAATACAGATAAATATAAGTGTTACAAAAAAAAAAAAAAAAAAATTTGTAACGAGATTAGACGGACGGAACAATATCCGTCGCATCAACTCCTCACACACAACTTATAAAAACGACGTCATTTTGAGCCAGGACGCACAATGCACGATATAACATTGTGCGCCCTGATGCACGATATAACGATGACGTATAATCGTCCACTTGCATGGTAGAGGGAAATTTATATCGTCCACTTTGATATATAATAGGGGCAAATTTATATCGTCCACTATAGGCAAATTATTTTGTGGTTATACAGTCTCTACCATAATAAAAAGTACATGGTACATGTTTTATCGGAGAAAGGGCTTGTAATCTGTAATACATTTGAGATATAACAATAATACAGAAAACAACAGGGAACAAAAACTGGATCATTTGATATCTTCAGGCGTGTAATCACTTTCCTATAAGCTTTAAATCTCCCTCTATAAAAGCAACAAGGTTCAAGATTTAATCTTATGGGATACAAGAAGATAATGAAATTCTCAAGTTGCTTTGTTTGAGAATTTTCTGTAGAAATGTAAGCCTGTGAAGTATCTTGGTTTTCTGCAAAATAATTGCTTGTAAAAAATGCCTCATCTTTCATATGCTTCTCCAAACTATTTATAGATGTAAAATATATCTGTTTGGAGAAGTTATATGGAAGTTGCTGTAATTTAAAACTCACAGCAACTTCCATAAGACAAGATGCTGTGATTTAATCCACATGTACAACATGTAAAATATATTTGTTTGGAGAAGTTACATGGAAGTTGCTGTGATTTAAAACTCAACATCTAAATCTTTCAGATGCTTCTCCAAACTTCCATAAGACAAGATGCCAGGCGTGAACAGTTTTCAATCACGAAAATATTTCGGAATGAGAATTTTGAATTTGGTGGTAAGGATGACAGAAATCACTTTCTATTGTACAAGAAGGTTTTTCATGCGATTTTTGCATGTTATTCATGGCATGCTGTGTACATGTTGTACATGTGAATTAAATGCATGTTGTGCATTTTTTGTTTTCATCTTCACTTAAAGTCATGGAACATCAAGTGATGCCAAGATGATTAGTGAGATGTGTAAAATGATTTTATAAATAAAATCATTTTGTTAGCCATGATTAATTGACATGAGAAGATGTGTACTTCCCTAGAGTGGGTGTGTGGTTTCAGCGTATCAAAGGTCGGAAGTGATGACCATTAAAGCAGATACAAGTTACAGGATGAGATCGGTACAATACTTTTATATATTTGTCTCGGCCTCGGCAGGCAGGTACGTAAGTTTTATTTTATTTACTTGTTAAGTTCTGGCTTATGTCTAGAAGATATGCATGAGATTCTTTTGAATTTTGCATAGCCTGTTAAATACAAGGATATGTTTATGCATGTGTATAAATATTTTTATTTTGAGACTTTGTCTCGATTGCATGCATATTATACAAGATACATATATAATATGTTGGATCTTGAGGTGCTGTAAATCTGCCAAATTTGAATTAATTTGGTGTTATCAATTTTTTGTTTTCTTATGCATGGTTACAATGTTTAATGATTGTAAGTTGGAAATAATTTCAATGTCATGCATGGAATTATTGATTATTTATGCACACAGATAATTTTTATCCTTGTGAAATCCTTTGAAATATTATGTTATATATATTTCTGGTTAAGGGAGAAAGCCTTTGAAAATATTCTGTGAATTTTCTGTTAAAGTCAGAAAGCCTTGAAAATATATTGGTATATTTCTGATGAAGGGATATGATACAGAAAGTTTTATGCATGAGGTATGCATAATGAAATTCATAAAATTTATAAATGTCTTTAACACAAAGTTTCTCATTTTGAGAATGTGTTAAAATATTGAAAGCCAAATAAGTTTATTGGTTTATCTAGTATGAGAATTAGTAGTGAAAAGAATTCCAAATTTAATTCATGGATTATGATTTAAATTGGTATGATTCTTCAGTTTAGAAGAAACAAGAAAAGTAAAAGCTTAAAATCAAAATGGTCTATTCTCCAAGGTTGATGTTCTCTGAATGGAGGATGTTTATTCTCCAAAGTTGATGATGTCTCAAATGGAGGATGTTGAATTTTTATTTTAAGAAGTCTTCACTGCTAATAAGTTCAACATGATGAATGAAATTCTTGGTTGTAGAATTTGCAGGATTAAATATTTATTGACTAGGAACCTATTAAGTGGGTTCCGGTATAATCAATTAAATATTTTATTTCTACAGTTCATTAATAGAATATTAAAATTCTATCTATCATCGGTTGGCTAAGTAGATGGGATTAAAGGGAACTTTGATATAATTGAATAACATCATTAATTATGGTTTAGTATATTTAATAGAAATTTCCATCCTGGTAAGATATTCTAGTGCCAGTTGAATGTCTAATCATGAAACTTGTTCCTCAATTAGTAGATGGATATTTCTGTTTGGAGGAGGTGTTGTTTTATGGGTTTCTAAAAGCAAAGTTGCTTTTTCAACTACGGCATCTGAATTTCTTGTGTTGGCTTTGACATGCAAGAAGTTGATTGGCTAAGGAATTTGATTATTTAGATTACAGTTTGGCCAAAACCGATGTCACCAGTTTTAGTACATTGTGACGGCGCTACTACACAGGCCAAAGCATATAACAATAAGTTATAATGTCAAGTTAAGACACATAGGCATGAGATATAGCTATGTGCGGGAGCTCCTAAGTTATGGTGTTGTAGCATTGGACTTTGTACGGTCCCAGTTTATTTTAACGGATCCGTTTGCAAGAGTCCTTGCAAGGGACATGGTTCATCGGAAGAGATACGGAAAACCTAATTAAAATTGCAAGTGAAGGAAAGCTCAACTCACGTCTAAGTTATTACGTTAGACCTTGAGTTCAATGTAGATGAGTACTTCATTTTGTGATTTGCAAGCATCAAAAGTTTAATTTAAAATTGTATCCAAAGAAAAGGTGATGCTTGGTTCTGACTTTGTTGTAGGGATGATTTTTTACTCTTAACTGATATTTAAAAAAAATGCAAAGTGCAGTGCACGATATAAAAGATTAGTCTTTGTGAGCATAAAGTGTGGCTGCTTCAAACAAATTTGGGCTTTACTTGGTATGTGCTCAGTGCTCATTAATGGATATGGACACATAACCTTAATATTGTCAAGTTACAGTGAGTTGTAATGACTGTAAAACTTGTGTGTGTTATATCTACGTTTCTTCAAAGTGACTGCGTGATTCAAGGTTCGTCCATCATTGCAATCCGAATTAATGTAACGCATATAATACTATGTGAAAGTTCAATCTCTAAGACACTTTCATTTATGCATGAGTTTTGGATTTATCTTGGTACAGTATTAATTTTACTATATAAATGGAGGAGGAATGTTGGAAATTTATATAGTAATGGAGATTAATGTTTCAGATAAACTACCATGAAAGCTTAAATAATATTTGGAGTTGTGGAGTTGTAAATATTATTTTAGTTTGGTAGAAAGTAAATTAAAATACTAGGAGAAATTTATATAGCTATATGCTTGACATATATAGCTATATGCTTGTGATATATAGCTATATGCTTGGAATATATAGCTATATGCTTGAGATATATAGCAATATGCTTGTGATATATAGCTATATGCTTGAGATATATAACTATATGCTTGAGAGTATTAATGCATGTTTGGATGTTTTCATGCATAAGGTTTTGGGGCATTTTGAAGCTATATGCTTCAAAACTACACTTAACGTGCTTGGAATATGTTCTTTTATTTATGCATTTTGAAGCTATATACTTCAAAGTTACACTTAACGTGCTTGGTATATGTAGCTGTATGCTTGAGATTATTGAACTACATATATGTGTATTATTTATATTTATCCTTTGCATGATTTCATGCGTAAGGAATATATATACATATACATATATATATAATTTTGCATGCAGTTACTAACTAAAAATAAATTTAATAATTTCTCCAGCAGTGATGGATATATTATTCAGGATATATCTTATCTTATGGAAGTTGAGTTTTAAATCACAGCAACTTCCAGACAACTTCTCCAAACAAATATATTTTTCACCTATAAATACTTTGGAGAAACATCTGAAAGGATGATGCAAAAACTTGCATTAAACTGAGAAAGTTCACAGCACTACATCAAATGATCCAGTTTTTGTTCGCTGTTGTCTTCTGTATTTTTGTTGTATCTCAAATGTATTACAGAATAGTCCTTAGTATAAAAAGTACATTTTAATATACTAAAAATACATTCTTTAAAAAAAATACATTATTCGTGTACTGATTGTACGTTATACAGAATAATGTACTTTCAGTATTCAAATAATGTACTTTTTTTTTAAATATAATGTACATTTTATTTTATTTTTGAAAACCAAATACATATATTACTTAAATAGAGTCAAGCTCCAAAACATGAACAAGAGAAGGAAAAGGAACTGAAATACAGTCCACACGATTAGACTTGGACAAGGCCTCTGTGACAACTCAAAATATATTTATTCAAATTCTATTTTATAAAATTTTAAAATAATTTATTTTCACTCCTACGTTAATTTTTCAAATGGTTTAATTTATGATGCACGATATAACGATGGCTGTAAATGATCAAAGGCCCACAGATAGTATAATCGTCCACTTGCATGGTAGAGGCAAATTTATATCGTCCACTTGCATAGTAGAGGCAAATTTATATCGTCCACTATAGGCAAATTATTTTGGACAAATTATTGTATATACCATGGTCCACACAATGTTATGTGGACCATAACAAAAAATACATTTTAATATACTAAATGTACATTAGTTTTGTATCGTATGTACATTATACAATATAATGTACACTCAGAATAAAAATAATGTACATCTACTAAATACAATGTATATCATTTTTGTACTGCGCACAATAATGATTGATTATTGTGTGGTACATGTTTTTATTACAAATTAAAAGAAGGGGTACACACATACAATCTACACATACATCAACTCTTGAACCCTAGACCTCCCACATAAGGGAGTAATTAGATACCAATGGACCATAAGGTCCTTAGTATAAAAAGTACATTTTAATATACTAAAAATACATCCTTTCAAAAAAAAAAAAAATACATCATTCGTGTACTGATTGTACGTTATACAAAATAATGTACTTTCAGTACTCAAATAATGTACTTTTTTTTTTAAAAAAAAAAATATAATGTACATTTTATTTTATTTTTGAAAACCAAATACATATATTACTTAAATAGAGTCAAGCTCCAAAACATGAACAAGAGAAGGAAAAGGGACTGAAACACAGTCCACACGATCAGACTTGGACAAGGCCTCTGTGACAACTCAAAATATATTTCTTCAAATTCTACTTTATAAAATTTCAAAATAATTTATTTTCACTCCTACGTTAATTTTCCAAATGGGTGTACGAATTAAATATTTTTAATTCCGCTATTCTAATAATTCCACACCCAAAAATACTTATATTTTAGAATTCCTATCTTTTGAGTATATTTACGTATCAAGTTTTGATCCAAAAAATCAATCTGAGTGAAACCTGATGAGAGTAACCTGTAAAACTGATTCAAGTGTTTTGGCTTAGAAATATTCGTAAGATTGAACCCATTTCGTTCCTAATATTTTAGAAATCTATTTTTATTCTAACTTGACCCAACTTTTGACCCAAAATTATAATTTGAGATTTTAATCACGAAATGACCGAATTAAACCCTTGTTGCCGAAAATTTTAGCTCTCCCTAGGATTTTGAGCCCTACTACTTAGACATCCTTAGTGAAGACATTGTATTCATTTTCTCTTCTTCACTTGGCAGCTTTCATCCATCTCTCTCTCGTGTCTCTCTCCATCTCTCTCTCATCTTCATCTTCTTCATTTTAGAGACCCTAGCAAGCTTAGGGTTCAAGATTTGGTAAGTTTCCTCCTCTCTTTCTTCATTCCATCCTCTAGTTTAATTTGTTAAGATGATGTATTTATGTGGGTGGTTTGTTGTGTTTTTGAGTTGCAATGGTGAAGTGGTTGCTATGCTTTTATTGGGAGAATGAAGATGATGGGTGTGGAAGAAGAACTTAGGAATGTGGCTTGCTAGAAGAAGATAGCTTGAGGTATAAACCATGGACTCCCAAAACCTATCATTTTAATCTTGTATTGTTGTTGATGATATGAATGTGTTTGTTGGTGTTTTGATGCCTAGAAATGTTGTAGAATATATGTTTATATTTGTATTATGAGCTTGGATTGCTATCTTGTTGTTCTTAAATGTTTGAGGATGTTTTGGAGTTGTGTTGAAAAATCTGGAAATGTGTTTTGATCTCTGCTGTGTTGTTTCTCAAAGCTCATTGTCTGGGCTTCATTTCTGACATAGCGGAACTACCAACGAACCCCGGAGGGATCCGTTGGTGAGTTCCGCTACCCGGCGGAACTGGGTGGCGGACCCAGAGGGGTTCCGCCACCTAGCACTGTGGCTCGACGGAGCCAGGTGACGGAGCTCCTCTGGCTCCGTCACCTAATCCGTTGGGTGGTCTGGAAGGGCAAGGCCCTTGTGGCTCAGCCCACTTTCGTTGTTTCGAACCGGGAATCGTGGGCCCTTGTGGCTCGGAGACTCGTGCTCGTAACGACACATTAGTATGAAATGTGCATATGTGATTTGTGAATAAAATCCAATTTTCCAAACGAAGCATGATTCATGATTTTCTTAAGTGTTTATTGAGTACCGTTGAGCATAAAAGTTGAGTACCATGTTTGGACTTGAGTTATGAGATGAGTTGATTAAATGCCCTAGTTGCATTATCTAGTTCATGAATATTGAGATTAGCATGATCTTATGGTTTCATTTGCATATTGGAATATTTCATAATCTTTGGTACATAAAACCTATGTTTTCATATGAAAAGCTTTTACACACTTTGGATGGCCTATATTATTGCCTTAGGATATTATTGCCGCGGCGGAGTACCTGCTTCATAGACCCGGTTTTGAAAGAAAGAAGAGAATAGAGAAACACGAGATGTGAAAGAGGTCCTCCGTAGAAAAGTATTATATCTTTTACCGAGAGTATGAGTATATATATATATATATATATATATATATATATATATATATATATATATATATATATATATATATATATTATTGCATCTATCGTACGAATTTTACATTATTGCATAGTATATGATGTTGAATATTTGAGAAGTGAAGCATGTTACATTATTTGTACGCATTCGTATGATAGTATGATTCTTACTTGGTACTTATACCATTTGTATATTATTGATCTTGGAAGTGTGTTGATATGGCATATGTTGATGAGTACATCTACTTATATGTATAGTATCGTTACTTGGGTTTATTGTTGGTTTATCCTATTGCCTATGTGTATACTTGTTGTATTTGAATATCAACCATTTTTTCAAAATCTATATCTATAGTTATGTTACAGGGTTGAGTGGTTTATACTTAGCATTTTATGCTAACGGGTTTATTTTTCCTATGTGCTTTTAACCCCTTTCAAGTGATCTTGATGCATGACGAGAGCTCGCATAGATAGTTGTAGTGTTTGTAGCTCTAGGGCTTAGATGTTGTTAGCTCTAGTTACCCCTCTCTTGTTGGATGTAGAATGACTACTTGTTTTGTTGGTGCTTGGACACCAGGCCGGGATTGCATATTCCCCTTATTTTGATGTGTAGAGCTTTGACTCTGATTAGTTCGTTAGTTGATTAGCCTATGCAATTACTCGAGAGTGGGTAACTGTGGCGGTGACACTCTCTTTTGGATGTTAATTTTGGATTTATATATCCTTTTTAGTCTTTATTTATGTTGTTTTCGTCTTTTTAGATTGTTTATTCTACATTTTTAAGTTAAGAAAAATGGGGTATTACAATCTCCCAAGCAAGGAAGTGGGCGATCCTGTTCGCAGACCGTTTAGCAAATAAAAAGCTAAGATTGACAAAGTCATTAGCTAGTTTCCTAATATCATCAAGGATAAGGTCAAAAGATGTAAACACTTTACAGATTTGTAATCTAGTAATCACCTTCGGTCCATCCATCTCTACTTCCACACAATCCACATTGAGCTCCTTCAGCCACTTTAGTGCCTCCTTTACACCCATTACTTCAGCTTCATCGGATCTAAATAAACCATGCCAAGGGATTTGTCTTGCAGCAACAAAGCACCCATTTGCATCTCTTAGGAGTAGGCCAAATCCCATCTTCCTATGAGTGGAGTCCAAGGCTGCATCCACATTAAGCTTCTTCTAACCCAAGGGAGGTTTGATCTAGTTTGTAACCTGAGCAGATACATTCAATCGGGAATCCTGGGCAGAATTGACCTCCAATCACTCATGCAAAAAGATTGAGCGCCCTTAACAATAGCATAAGCTGGAATGACCACCTGATTCCATACCTTCTCATTCTTCGCCTCCCAAAACTTCCAACAGACAGATATGAGAAGACACAAGTGATCCTTAGGTTGTGATGTGAATTGAGTCTCCAACCAATCCATAAAGCTTTGGCAGCCCCAATAGTTAACTCTTTCCAACAGGCCCCAACACTGTCTAGCAATAGGGCAAACAACAAACAAGTGAAAAGCAAATTCATCCTCAGAAGCACATAACTAGCACAAGGCTAGAATGTCAACATGTCTCGCTCTCAACAGATCAGTAGTGGGAAGAGAATTCGAACACAAGTGCCAAACAAAAGATTTGATCTTAGGAGGCAGCTTCATCTTCCATACATAAGTCCAGAATGGAGGTTGTTGATTCTGTAAGGGGATCTGCAACTTCCTATAGCAACTTTTAACAGTATAAACACCATTTTCTTCATTCACCCATATTAGTCTGTCCTCATGGTGTGAAGTAGGAATAGGAATGCTCTTGATCAAAGACACATCCTCTTGCACAAACAGATCATCTAGAATCTCACCATCCCAATCATATTTATCCATGTTGAGGAGGTTCTCCACCTTAGCTTCCCTTAAGGAATCTGTCAAGGGAGTTTGAATAAAAGGACAATCAATATTAGGTAGCCAAGGATCCCCCCCCCCCCCCCCCCCCCCCAAACTTTAATTGAAGCTCTATCCCCCACTCTCCACCGCAACCCCTCTCTTAGGACACTTTGGGACTCCAAAATGCTTCGCTAGGTGAACGAAGGGTTATCCAATAATTTAGCATCAAAGAATGAATGGGTAGGATATATAATATCGGGCTTTATAAACTCTAGCAAATAGGGACTCACGAAATTGAATTAACCTCCAAGCTTGCTTCCCTAATAGGGAAATATTGAAATCTCTAATTCTCTGGAATCCCATTCCCCCCACTTCTTTGGTAAACACAATGATTCCCACCTCTTCCACCTTATACCCCTACTCCTCTCCCTTTCACAACCCCACCAGTAGGTGTTCATGATTCTCTCAATCTCTCTATCCATCTCAATAGGCAGAAGAAACACACTCATTGCATAAGATGGATGACTTGAATGACATTTTTCAATAAGATCTCCCAGCCAACTCTTGAGAGAAACTTTGAAGTCCAACTCTTAATTCTACCCACCACCTTCTCTCTTATAAATCCCAAGATTTCCCTTTTGTTTCGCCCAATCAGATATGATAAGCCCAGATAATTCCCACTCAAACTGCCTTCCCTCATCCGCAGCTCTTCACAAACAACCCCCCTAACTTCCACTTGAACATTTCTACTAAAAGAAATAGTAGACTTTGCTATATTAACAGACTGCCCAGAGGCCACAGAAAAAGACTCATTAATTCCTTTTAGAACTGTGCTCTCGAGTTGGGAGGCTCTACAAAAAATATAACAATTGTCCACAAAAAATAGGTTTGAAATAATTGGGGCTCCCCTAGCCATAGAGACCCCATGTAACTGACTAGTCTTTACTCTACTGTGAATAGCTTTATGATGAAGTTCCTACCTCCCCACTGTTATGATGAGACAGATGCGAATGATTGAGATTATGATGATACAGATGGGCCTGATATGAGATTCCTCCAATTTTATTACTATGATATCATATTTCTCTTGAGGGTGAGAGTATTGATATAAATGATTTACATATCTATTTGAGAATTGAGATACCTCTTACTATGATGCTTTGAAACCTCTTATGAATGCAAAGGAAATACGGTACCTAACAAACTATTTTCCAAATCTATATATCTATACCTATAACCTATGTTACGGGGTTGACTGGTCTTATACTTAGCATTATATGCTAACATGTTGTTTTCATTGTTTTTCTTGATAACCCCTTTCAAGTATGGAGTAATGTTTGTTGAGAGCGCGCCTTGAGGAGCTAGATAGATAGTATCTCTTATCTCTAGTTCCTAGTATGTTGGCTTTGTTACCCTATTTATCTATGACAAGTATTTTGGATAGTTGTGGGTTAGTTTTGATGTAGCGCTAGACTACCTATCTGTTTTGTTAGTGCTAGGACACCTGGGTCTGTGAACCCTTATTTTGTTGGATGTTGAATATTGATTCTAGTAAGTTTAGTCTTGTAGTCATCCTAGTGTGGGTGGCTGGGGCAGTAACATTCCCCTTAATGTTAGAGTATGGATTTGACTATCTTAATCCAGCATTTATGCCTTTATCTTTATCCTTAATGTATGATTTATACTAAGCTCGTAAGTGTGAATTTGGGGGTGCTACAAGTTGGTATCAGAGCGGTACGAACCAACGGTTTGATGAGTAGCCTCTTGTGGCGTAATTCAATGGTGAAAAATGATTTGATCCGCAAGCTTAACAAAACTACTTTTTGGATAATTCTGGCATGGGTTGTTGTCTAAACGGTCTAGGGCTGAGAAGCTGATCTCCTCTGATCTGTAAGATATTAACCATGGGGAACAATGGGCTAGTTGTATCTCATCAATTTAATTCTTTAGTTTTGCTATTCATGTGACATTCTGACACCTGATGTATAGGTGTAATACACTGGGCGTGTATCAAATATTTTTTCATATTGGAATACCTTTCTACGCAATGTTAAAATACCTTTGGTTAAGTTAGAAAAAAACTATGATATCTCATCTACACCTCATGAATAGTATACTTATCTTTTTTTTTTTTTTTTTTTTTTTTTTTTTTTTTGGTGCGCAATAGTATACAGCATATAGTACGGAACATTTTTTTTTAAAGATCAGAAGGAGGGAAAAAAACCCAACACCAAAAGTTAACACTCTCATGCAGCATGCCTCAACAGAGGAACTCCTACTAACATATTTTTTCCTTTGATGATTAATAACAAATTACATTTAATTAATTGATACTCCGTAATAATTATTTATTCCTTATTACTTTTTCGAAGAACTGACGACAATTGATGCTATAAATCTATCATTTTTATCTGAAATCTATAAATCTATAATAACTAAATAATATTCTTGAATACAAGGAAAAAATATATCTATCATGTACTTTTATTTTTTGGTGCTTTCAAAAAAATAAAATAAATTTCTCTCTTCAAAACCCCACAAAAAATAAAATTTATTCTCTTTGGGACCCCACACTTCTAACGACAGAAGCTTTTATTTTTTTCTAATTACAAACTATCTTGGCATAAATAAACAAAATTATGACAGACTCAAGCATTGATGTAGTGATGTTCAATTCGATCACTGCATTTATCTTTGATCTTTGCAATCAAGTAGAACGGTGGGATTTCAAAAATTCAAAAGTTTAAATTTGATCAAACATATTATAATAAGTATTTTGCAATCAAATTAATTCAAACTCTAACTCCAAATATCATTCGTAAAACAAATCTCGAATAACAAATCAAGTTAGCGTTTTAAATTGTTGTAACTTCCATGTAACATCCTCTAACAGTCAAATATTTCAAATAAATATTTTAGAGAGACATCTGAAAGATACATGCAATTAACTTGATATTTCACAGCCTTACAATTCTACAGGAAATTCTTAAACAAAGCTAACTTAATAAATTTAATTCATCTTCTTGTATCCATAAAGGTTAAATCTTGAACCTTGTTACTTTTTCAAAGGGAGATTTAAAGCTTATAGGAAAGTCATTGCACGTCTGAAAATATAAAATGATCCATTTTTTTTCTATAATTTTCTTCTGTAATTTTGTTGTATAATACAAGCATTTTTCCAACATTTAAGGAGTTAATTAAAATAAACTGAAAACAACTTTTAAAGAAGATGTCAGTTTCTAAACTTTTTTTTTTTTGAATGCTATTGACTCTATTACAATGTAGTATCTGTTCATACATACTTTCTCGACCTACTGAAGCACAAAGAGTCAATGCCCCACAATGAGGTTCGAACTTATTTAATCTGTTTGAGTGAATTCCATTTTTGGTCCTGCTGTTATAGGGGCGTTTCCAATTTCAGTCCACTTTAATTTTTTTGGCCACTTTACAACCATTGTTATTGATGTGTTCCACTTTTAGTCCACCGTTAATATTTTCGTCAAGAGGCCGTATAATCAAAGGGTATTTTGGTCTTTTTATGTTTGTCTCTTCTCTTTTAATCAAAGATGGCTCTTCGAACAATGAGAATGGAAAGCCAAAGCTACATCGTTTCGTTCGTTCCAACATGGGCCGACGAGGTTTCTTAAGTTTTAGGTTTAATGTTCTCATTTCTTTAGTCAAACATAGTCTTGGATGAGAAGAAATGTCAAAAACAAAGCAGTTTGCTGTTAAAAATTCCAGACTATAAGCTTTATCTAATGTTTCTCACTGAATTCTAGCTGCTTAATGAACAGATCTGGTATTATGCACAAGTCTCGGATTCTCCACACTTTTTCTTTTTTTGGAGGGGGGAGGGGGGAGGGGGGATGAATTCCATTGTGGGTATTATCTATAGTTAGATCTGTGAATACCATATAGGGGGGAGGGGGAGATGAATTCCATTGTAGGTATTATCTATAGTTAGATCTGTGAATACCATATACAAGGAAATGAACTTTATTCCTATTAGCATGAATTTGTTATTTGTACTATTCACTGAATGTGAACATTTTAATGAATTGAAACTAATAGTAAAAAATTGAAGAGTTTGGAAGGTTCATGTGGCCGGTGTCACAAGTTTGTGGTCTGGCGCCTCCCAATACTGACTCTGAATAACTGAATTGTGAGAACGTGAATGAGAAGCAAGCCACCAACTTCACTTCATTCATCCCATCACCTCCATTTTTTTAAGCAAAAAAAAAAAAAAAAAAAAAAAAAAAAAAAAGAAAAAGAAAAAGAAAGAGGGAGTTGGCTGTATGTACGACCAAAAACCAAAATAAGCACTTATACAGATATTAGTTTTTTCACGTGCATTACGCGATTGAGATAATGTCAATGTTTATTTTTAAATAAGTACTTCAAAGTATATTAATGCTAGATTATATAAGAAATGTTCACGCAAATTATGCCCTGGAAACGTGTTCACCATTCCCTGGAAACGTGTTCACCATGAATGGTGAACACGGGTCCAAACGGTGTCGTTTTTAAGAGAAAAAAATAATTAATTCATGTGATGTTAACGGCGTACGTTTGTTCAGATTATGAATTTTCTGTTATGAGATTATGAATGTATTGTAAATTCATAATCTCATAACAGAAAATTCATAATCGCATAAAATAAAAATATTTATTAAATTATAAATTTTCTGTCATGAGATTATGAATTTAGAGTTATGTAGTTATGAATTTTCTGTAAATTCATAATCTCATAACAGAAAATTCATAATTTCATAACAGAAAATTCATAATCGCATACCAGAAAATTCATAATCTCATAAAAGAAAATTCATAATTTCATAACTGCACATTCATAAATCCATGCCTCCACATTCATAATTTATGAATGTTGAAGAAACTTGCGCGAAGAGGAAGTGAAATCGCGAAATGTGAAAATGAAGAAGAAAAATCACGCGGTTAATTAAGAAAAAAAAAAAAAGATAACGGTGCACCGTTATCGTTGGGACCGTGTTCACCATTCATGGTGAACACGGTTCCATGGCATAACGACTGAGATGTTCATGTATAGGTAATTGAATGTTGAATTTGCTTATTAAATGGGTAATTCTAAGTTTACGAATGCAAGATAATATAGTCGAGATTGATTATAATTGTCACTAAAACAATTGTTTGCAACTTTGTAAAAACGCTAGTCTAAAAATGATAATCTAGATAAATACTACTTTTGGTGAAATTTCTCTAAGTCTTTTTTTTTTTTTTTTTTTTTTTTTTTGGGTAGCATTGCCATTGTCTTCATATCTTCAGTACATATTGTCATTGTCTTCATCTTGTACATATCCTCTTATTAGAGCATGAGGGTGACAAACCAGAGGAACAAATGAAAGCTGTTAGCAGTAAGAATACTGAAGAGCACTCAGGTCCTTCACACCTCAGGAGTTAGTTATAACTGCTCCTTGTATATAAACAGATTAGCTTCTTGTTTTGTAACTGTGAGATATTATTCAATAATGAA